ACTGCAGGGTCTGAATTGACTGGGGAGCAGTGGGTAGAGGGATGTGGGCAGAAGGAGCCACCTTCAAAGCCTTTGGCTTAGCTGGGGATCTAGCTTGGAAATAAAAAGTCTAACACGTGATGCGCACACTAGAAAATGCACTTGCAGTTGGCTAAGAGGCAGCTGACCTCATACATTTTGCGAAGTATACCACAGACCGCGCAGTGTGGAAAAAACGGGCAGCTAAAAACTTGCGTACTCTTTCTCTAGGGGCCTAAATTAGTCTGATATTTTCTTAAGTTTACTTAGGTAAGTTAGATACACACTTTGCTTTAGACATGGTACCTTGCAATTCGCTGACATAAATTAAGCAAGAACAAAAACGTCTGCAGAAAGCAAGATCCATCACATGCTTCTCATGCCAAAGCCTCAAGGGTGTGAGCTACTGGTCTGCACTGTAAACACCATCCAGGCCCACCATCCGGAAAAGAGTAAATGGACGAGCCCTTATTGTATTGATAAAGAGAAGCATCAAATGTATTTAGTACTCATATAAAAAATATGTATTTATGCATGTATGTGTGCACATGTGGCTGTACGTATGTAGCAAGGAGACAGGACTCAGGTGGCAAGTGAGGTGGAAGAAGAGACCTCTGCTATCAATCTCTTTATATTGGTTTGGCAATCATTGGCTATTGGTTTTCCACATGCTGCTCCATGCGTCCCCACACATAATTGTGGTGGGAACACTTTCGCTGCATTTAACATGGGACTCTCCAGCTCCTGCACAAATTTCTCCAGTGTCTGCAAGCTGCCAGGACCTGGGTCAGCTCCCCCACGCCCTAACCCTCCAGTGCACTCCTCTATCTTGGTGGGAACCCAAAACAGTGCAGACATTGCGGAGCACCTGCAGGGGCACCGGTGGGAGAGTGGTTCCTTGTTGGGCTGCAATCCGAAAGAGCGGTATTTCAAAACCACCAGCCACTCTGAGACAGGGCTTTCTACTCCCGTGAACAGTCCCAGTCTCAGAAACACACAGGAGCAGTTTCAGCCTGCCCAGTAAGGTCACTATGAGTCAGCAGTGACTCAATGGCAATGAGTTTGGTTTTGCTATAAGCAGCGGGCAAGCAGGGCCAGTCACAAAGTAAGCAGGACATTATACCCGCCTTTTCTGCCCCGGCCCTCCCACCATCTTTTCCCACCCCTGAAAGGTGAGAGCCTCTCCAGTTGCCACAAGGTATTTCCGTTTGCCAAACAAGGCATAAACTGTTTCACAAATAACTCTTGGGCCACAAGGCAATGGTATTTTAAGAAACAACATTTCTGTGTTTCTTAATGTTTCAGAATTATGATCAAGAACATACAATCCAGCTATGAACCTGGCCCTGTAATAATCCAAGCATTTCAGAACCCAGCAAAGCATTTTTAAACTCAATAGCCCTACAATTTATTAATCTGCACCATACCATTCTAGCTTTTCCAAACGCCACTGCCATCAAGTTATTTCCCTAAGGTGGCGCCATGAGCTAAGCATTGAGCTGACTGCAAAGCAGTGGGTTCAAACTCACCAGGTGCTTCATAGGAGACAGAAGAGGCTGTCTGCTCTGGTCAAGATTTAATCTCAAAAACCCTAAGGAGCAGTCTTGCTCCATCCCATACAGGGTCAGTATATCCTGGGATCAACTCGATGGCCATAGTTTGGATTTTTGGTTTAAAAGACAGAGCAGAATTGCCCCCCAAAGAATTTCCAAGCACATATATCTTTGCAAAGCAAACTACCTTTATCTTTCTCCCAAAGAGGAGGGGCTAGTAGGTTTGAACTGCAGACCTTTGGGTTGGAAGCCAAGCACTTTAACCACTGTATAAATTTGTGAAAATAAGTCTTTTTCTCCTCCTGAAAAATCAATACACTTTCCTTGCTTTCACTGGTAAGCCTGAAAACTTTCACCCAGTAACCAGGAACTTCTCCTCATGTTTAATAAGTAGTCATTTCTTATAATTTTCAGGAAAATAGTAACCACAGGTAGACACAGACTTATCAGCTTTGGGTTAAGGCCCTCCTGATGCTTCAAACCTTTCCACTTCTAGGTTAAAAATAACGATAATATCCTCAGTGTCCTACACATCCACCTCCCTCTGCTCGTAGTTTTGTCCCCAAACAAATAATAGAAATGAATTGCAAGTATAACTGGAAGCATTGTTGCAATTAATCAACCAAGCGCCCAAGGGAGCAACTGTTTCTATTTTTAAATGCACTGTTGCTTTAAGGGAAAAAGCCCTGTGGAGAAATATGAAACCAAGCTGCATAATGAAAATCCAAATGCATTTGATGTCTTCATCCCTGCAAAAGCAGTAATCCTAATCTACAAGCAGTACTACTGCGCCAGTTCCGCCTGGTGTGTCCAGGGAGAATCCCACAGATAGGACCGGCCCACACACAGAAGGGCAGAACATTCGGACGGCCACACTTCAGCGCTATTATCGCTCTAGACAGGGATTTCGCAATGACCAGGCAGATGGATAAATCCCCAAAATCAGCATACAGATTTGGACTTCAGAGATCCTGATTAATAACTACAGCGGCTGTCCTAAAAATGAGCACATGATTATCTAGCATTCCTAACAGTCCACAGTTGTAACTGCTATTAAACTTGCACAAAACTATGCCTGCTTCTCTCCACAAATGACATCGTTTCACTTCATTAAATGTGTAGTTCAGAGTGACAAGAAGCAGGTGTCAAACCAGCAAGGGAAAGATTCAGACGCAAGAGCCAAGTAACTAGAGCTAAAACATCCTACCTGTTTCAGCTACTGTTTTGACTAACCTAACTTAGCAGATTTTTTTTCTCCCTGAAACAATATAACAATATTTCTTTTGGAAGCAAAGGGGTGCAAAGTTTGGTGCAGTGAGCTATACAATTATTTTTTTAATATTTTAATTTACACAGTGAAACACACAACACTTCTGTATTTATCTAAAAACATTACAAATATATTGCAAAACCTTGTCCATTACTGAGAAGTACCTAATGCAACACTTTAAATATAATTTAGCTATTTAATATCACCCTGTAGGGTCAAAAAGCCAACAAACCAAACTCACTGCCAGGGAGTTGATTGTGATTTACTCTATAGGACAGGGTACAACCGGCCCTGTGGGTTCCAAGACTAACTCTTAATGGGAGTAGAAAGCATCATCTCATCTTCCTCTGATGTAAGCAAAGTAATACTGCTAGGCTCAGCGCAGAAAAGCAATCTATGCCCCCAATTACTGCCTCATATTTCTTTCCCCAAATTAGCAAAACTAAGCCGACTGCCACATGATTATAGGATGGTGGCAGTAGCTTCCTTTAGCAGCAAACCCAACTGCAGAGTTTCTTTGCAGAGAAATTCACTCATGGAACCTGCACATCCATCAACAGGTGACTTTTGGAAACACACACTCATGCTCACTCCCCAGACCAATTAATTGCAACCCACCCCACTTTGTTTCTTTTATACTTTTACAAACTGCTGCCTTACTATATAGAATGGATTCCAAGTTTTCTTCTCAGGGCCTTACCACCAAAATTTAAAATACTGAAATTACGTTAGGGCATTTTTCCCATACTGATGCATGTACTGGGCAGAATTAATAAGGATCCAACAGTTACCACTTTTCAAATGCAAATGTGTTGCCATCCAGTAAATGCAGCCTCCTTTTAAATAATCCCCCAAGTGTCCACTCCTTTTGTTTCTATGAAAATCAAAATCCCCGCTTCACATTCAGGCATTATCTCAACTCAGCACCAACAACCCACCACCCACCCCCCAAAAAAGGTTGTAAATGGCTCAGGCGTGAGCCTGCATCTACCAGCCAGTTTTGCTTTATCTTGGGTCCTCGTCTGCCCCCGCACCCCACTCCCGGCACCCCCCCAACCCCCCATTTTACAGAGTAAGGCCCTCAAGTAATTCTGCCAAAGGAAGCAAGCAGTGTAGTGGTGGCGAGAAGGAAGGGCACGGGCTTTCACAATCATAAGGCCTGGGGCTGGTGGTCATTGCCTGCTTGAGTCTTAGTTTTCTGATCTGTAAAATGTGAATTTGGGGCTAATCATCTCACTAGGCCCTCCCTGGGGTATCTGCCGGGGCACCGCAGGCTGGGCAGCACCATGCAGACTGGGGCCGGCAGCCGGGCTGTGGCCAGGGTGGCCGGCTAGAAGCTGGGAGGGCAGAAGGGAGGTGGACAGAGGAGAGGAACTTGGACTTGCAACAGCTTCAGCCAGGGAGTGTGCGACAAACTTGAAGCCGCCCTCTGAACAATGGGGAAGCGCACTCCGGTTTCCTCGGCTCCAACTTGGGAGACCTTGTCCCCTCCCACTGCGAGCCCGCGTTACCTTTCGCCCTGCTTGCTGTTCGGAGGAGGGTGCAGGACCGTCTGGTTCCCTTCCATCTCCACCACGCACTTGGTGTTCAGTTCCAGCTCTGCGAGCAAAGGGAGACGTGAACGCTGCAGAGCGGAGCACGCGTCCCGGGCCCGGGCGCGCCGGCTGGGGCTCGCGCTCCCGGGAGGCGGCCGAGCCGG